CCTCAGGATTTCCCTCTTTACTTTCATAAAACTCCCACATTTCACAGTGTCTCTGTGTACCAGCCAATCATCTCATACCTAAATATCTTATAATCAACCGATACACCAACAAGTACTTTTAGTGACTACCGTGATTCCCTGTGCTTGTTATACTCATTTAATCACTCTGTCTCTGTTTCTGTCTGTCTGTGTCAGCGTAAACACTGTAAACTATCCAAACATATTCCCATTAATTACCTCTATGTTATCTGAATATGCAACACTGCTTAAGTGTAACAAAACATTTAATGCAGTATTTATTAGAAATATGAAAACCTTGCATCAATGCATTATCAAGCGATGCAGAACATTACAATTATCTGTTTTACATTAATGCTAATAGATCTTTCATACAAATCACTTTTTGGTAAAATATATGTACTAGGTAAAACCTATAACAGGAACTATGATTCTGTTAAGAAGACAAAGGAAAAACTTGTGATAATTACATGAGCTTTTAGCAATTAGTATTAAGAATTGAATTAATTTAACTTGAACACACGCATTGTACTCAATTAGAAAAGAGTAGTGTTTTCATCACATCCACTGAATTATTTTTGTTCATGGGAGCTTAACTTTCCTGCATATCCATTGGATTTCATCTTAGTTGCAACAATTTATTTTTTACAGAGTTCTTTCAATAGGTATACCATGCTTTGTTTCTCAATATACCTACGAAATGTAATTGTAAAAACGAAATTGGTAGTAATCCTTATATCGATGGAAATGCCCCCACAAAGGATATTTCGGCAGATAAAAATGCAGGTACGACTCTTCCAATGTTCCGTTAACTGTGGCAAAACCACCGTGACTTTCCGCCTTTTGAAGTGTAATCATGCCAGATGTCCTTGCACATTTCCCATTTGCATTCTGTGAATTAAGCACTATAACATAATTAAGTACCTCATCTCACAGTTCACAGTGCGAAAACCAAGCAAGCTAATGATGGTCCAAAAATCAGCCAGAAAGTTGAAGTAATCATGTGACCACTGTCGCTGACAACGTTGCAGTATGACCAGTTGCAAGAGCACACGTGTCGAGTGAGCACAATCGTCTTGTAGGTTTCGCAGGAGTTGGTTATGATTGTGCTGTTTGTTGCACAGTTACGGTGGAAGCTTTCGAGTTCACCTGTCAAAAGAAGAAAAAAAACGATATAGTTATGTATCCTTAGATGCAAGTTCTAAAATTAAGCATATATGTATGTAAGTATAAATGCACGATGCTCATACACACACACACAAATATATTTTTGCCATGCCTGCAATCAAGGTTAAAGACGAAGCTTCTACTTGGACGCAACTTTTGAGATGCTCCTTAGCTGGGCACTTCCGTTGTGTGTGTGTGTGTGTGTGTGTGTGTGTGTGTGTGTGTGTGTGTGTGTGTGTGTGTGTGTGTGTGTGTGTGTGTGTGTGTGTGTGTGTGTGTGTGTGTGCGCGCGCGCGCGTGTAGTGAATAGGTGCGGGGGCGTGGGGATAGGGGTGGATTCCAAAAGAAAACAATATGACGGAACTTTGTGTTGTCCTTGGTCGGAAAATCTTTTATGACATTATCGTAAATTTTATCCAAACATACGACCGATATATCTAATGTACTTAATGTAATAATCTAAGTCATCTCAATCATGAGCTTTTAACCTATAGCCCACAGTAGCACTGAATATTTGACCGCTGTACGATGATATCCTACACATACAGTAGAGCTGTCAACACAACACACAAACATAACATCGCCGTAAGCAGCTTACCGTTGAGATCATAAACAGCAACAGACTCGCATCCGATGGCGCAGGTGCGAGTCTCCGTCTGGTCCGCCGTGAAGTTGGCGTCCGTGCAGCCGTCCATGCGGGAGCTGTTGCCACGGGGGGAGTAACTGCACAGGAAGCACTCCAATCCATGTCCTAGAAGGGAATCGACGACTGAGACATGCTGCCGACTGGTCCTGTACGCATGGTTATTGATAAACATCAGGTATGGCCACCTGAAACACGATGCTTTATAGTCTTTCTCAATGGATATCGTTTTTCATGTCCTTTTTGAATAGTGTTTGGGTAAATAGCATCGATCTATAGGTATTTTCTAAGGCCAGTTCACATTTAATACAGATTCAGAGGCTACACGCCTTCTGGCATCATATGATTATAACACTAACCTCTCTTGCATTTTAATCCCAATAATTTACCCACCGTGAATCTAATTCATAAGATTTAAGTGATGTTAAAGTGGTCATTTGAAATACAACTAGATATGATATTATGAGGCTGACCAACGTAAAAAACCTAGAATTTACCTTTCTGTATTCAAGTGACATCAAAATAACCCTTTTAAAATATTATTTTAATTAGACTGTAATGATAAAAAGAAATGAAAATGAAAAAAAAAACTTTCTTCGCCAAAACTAAAAACATTGTATTTTAACCAACATAGGCCTACATGAAGTTATTTTACATATATCATTCATTCATTCATACATACATATATAAATATACAAATATATACATATACAAACACACACACACACACACACACACACACACACACACACACACACACACACACATATATATATATATATATATATATATATATATATATATATATATATGCATATGTATATGTATATGTATATGTATATATATATGTTATATAATGTATATATATGTATATATATATATATATATATATATATATATATATATATATATATATATATATATATATATATATATATATATATATGTACACACACGCACACAGAATCCGCTTGAAGCAGTATTTTCCCTCAAAAAATATCCTACTGATTTTGGAATTCATTGACGAGCGCCAGAGTTTTGGGAGCAGAGTGCAGCGCCATGCACTCAGGGTTAACCAAATGGAAATGGAAATATTTTAATATTATTGCAGTAACATTAAATGTGCTGAATCATTATGATAATGCAGAATTAAGCAGAGATGACCTAATACGGTGCACGCGGGGTCAGGCGACTTCGTATGCTCTCACCAACATTGTTTTCAAAGGCAATTTAAGTATATAATACATTCATTCACTGCTCAAAGAGAAATTGCGAGCACTAATTACCATCCCTGTACGATGAAGATATAAATTATTCTCGCACATAGTAAATACACGTTATTATAATTCAAAATGTTATCTTTGAGTTTTTCTGTGCTTAATTTTCACTTTCAAATATGGACTGAACCAATTACCCTGACATAAAACCAAATTAAAAAAGGTTTCCTCTCACCCAACAAAATATCAAATAGTAAGTGTGAGATAAATAACTGTTTTCAGCTGTGTAAATTAATTCGCAGATGAATGGGCGTGCAATAAGCATTATAGGGATACAAGTACACTAATGACTTGACCTACACTATTTGAACAAACGAAGAATACATCTATATACCTTTCATCATCAATTCAGCCCCAAAGAACATGCTTTCACTGTTAATTTTCCTCTAACCTCGCCTCTCCATTTAAGAAATCTCTCC